GGATATCCGCAACTATTTCTGGTTTTTGATTGTCCCTTACTAACCTTCATCTACCCGGGCTTTGTTTGTGGCTCGAATGGGCTTCATTTCGCGGATTTTCTCCAGGCCATCAAATCCGAGGCAGCAGCCCAGAAGCCTTCGCCGCTGCACCTCAAGCGCGGCGAGTGTCTGCGTCTAGCAGTCTAGCCCCCCAATTCCAACGGGGCCCGGGGACAAATGGGATAGGCCAAAGCCGCAGAGAAAGGGGAGCCGCTGAGGGGTAGTTCCAAGTTCTCATAAAAGCGGATGAGCTGTATGGGCGACCTGCTTCTCCATGCATTTGGGCTTTCCTTCGAAGGTGAAAAAGGCCGCTGGGTATATAGGCGTAACTCGCCACATGGCAAAACAAAAAGTGCTACAAGTGGTTCAAACGCAGTTCGGCATCAGGATAACTCAAGTCTTCAACCAAAACCGAGCATTCCATATCGAGCCGTTGCCAAGTTGCGTCTTCGGGGGTGGCTGCAGCAGATCATCCAGGTGGGCCCTGCTCAAGGAGGCCTGGCAGAAACATGCCTGTTGAGGCTCGCTACAATTTTCTCTCGCTTTGAGAGGAAACAGAAAGCCGTCATGTGTTGGGCACATACCCATGTGGACACGTTCAGTGCACGCTGATTGGAAGAAACATGGGGAAAGCGATGGCAAGTCCTTCCGCTTGCCATCTCAGCAGTTCGTGAGAGCATGCCCACACTGCCAAGCACATTGTCTTGTGTGAGGGAGATTAATAAGCCCCTTTTTGTTGATATGGGGGTGTTCCCCTCCAAAAGTGATAAATAGCCACGAACACCAGGGCCACCCCCATATTCATAAACAGGGGTTGATCAATCTGGGGGTCAACATGAACGGCTTACAACCTCGCTGCTGGCATCTGCTGGCAGACTCCCCGACGAAATGCCGGCGAAACGTCGCATAAAACATGGATCCCGGATCTGCTTTCCGCCGCGCGCCTGATGCTTCAACTTCTCTGCAGGCGGTGCAGTCAGCGCTTCCTTGGCCTGGCGAACGGAATGCGCCATGCGCCAATGTGTCTTCATCGGAAGTCGATGAGGCCTTAAGCCTGGAACTCGATGCGCCCAGAAACTGGTAGGTCTTGAGGGGATGGAAAGATACGGAAAGAGCTGCCAGCGCTTGGTTTGTCGGATGACCATGGGTGTTTTCCTCTGGCAGTGATCGTGTCGTCATTTTGTCCCGCCTCAAGCGGTCGCTGCGTTGCGTTTTGCTGAAGCGTCTGAAGCTCGCGCTCGTGCGCTGCTTTCAGCTGGTGATAAACTATATCCAGCGCTTGGATGAAGCTGGCGCCTGAACAGGTGAGCCAGCCAGCCACTCAAAAGCTGACACACTTCAATCGCCTTGATGTGGCTGGCCGGGCTCCTGGCAAGCGCAGAGAGACGTGGGTATAGGCCGCCTTTTGGGCTTCAGGCGAAGGTAAGCTAGCCCCCCGTCCATTTTCCTGGCCGAGGGGTCCTGGAAGACAATGTTCCTTTGAAATGGACCCTCCATCTTAGTGGACAGGAGAGTACCATCTTTTGCACGAGGCAACCCACATTGCAAAGAACCCTTACGCTCGCGCCTGCTCAGTCATGGGTCAGATACACCCGCGCACGATTGCTGAGCCCAAAACGTCTCAAGATCCCACGCTGGTCAAATAGCACTTCTGAGTGCCTCGCGCTTTGTAAGGATGGGATGAGCGCTGTTGGCGTTGGGTAAAGTCGAAAGGGCTAAGCGTAAGGACGCATGGTGGCAGAAGCTTCGCCAAAATCCCAATGCCCTGTCTGTTTTGGAATGCCGCTTGCCAATCTTCGAGGATACCTCCTTGTGACTCAGCTCAAGCATTCCTGACAACTGCAAACTCCCAAGGCAAGGCCGGCAGAGAACCAGTCATCAAAGCAAAGCCACTTTAAACCAACAGGCCTATCCAAGTGGGTGTTTGAAGCCACTTTGGGAGCGAGGCCCCGGCCGGGGGTTGCCTTTTTCCTTTGCAAGCCGCACTCGGAGACCACATTGCGATTCTCCATCCGGCTCGCGCCCGACGACCCCCTTTAGGGGGCCGAAGGCCCGATGCTTCGGGGGCAAAACAGGTCGCCTATTGCCAACTCCCACTGGGAGCTGTTGATTCCGCCCCAAAAGTCCTAGAATGCCACGGCCCCCCCCCAACCAATCTAGATCAGCTTAATCTGGGTCCAGCCCCAAAGAGTCCAAGACCCTCTTAGAACAAACCAAGCCCGACATTTGAAATTCCGCTACGCGGAGGCTCAGTGACGCGCTCCGGCCAACGGTTCTTCGCAAAAAAATGGACAAGTGAGCAGCGCCCAAAACCCTCCACTTGGCACCAACGCGTCTATCGCGTTTTGCGCCCACTGGACACAATGAGCAGTAGTGAAATCAGTCCCCTTTAAACCCCGGGGGCGCTTTTTGTCGGTTCACGTGGGCCATTTCTCTTCGCGTCACGCCCAACCGAGAATTCTACTCCCATGGCGCTGAGGCTTCGGGCTTCGGGCTTCGGGCTTCGGGCGCTGCTCAAATGGCCATGCGCCAACGCATCGGCGAAATCGCCGGCGCTGGCGTTCCGTTTATCCAGATCGGCCCCGGCGTTTCTCATTCGATGCCTGAGGAGCGCCTCGAACCCCCACCACAGGGTTCGAGGGGACTCAAGCCTCGGGTTTTGGGCAAGGCCAAACATTGAAGACCCTGGTGTGCAACAGAGTCCGAGACAACCCTGTGCTTCACAACCAAGTCGACCCTTTTATCTGTTCTGCATTCGACTTCACAGGGAAACCTTCTTCAAATAAATGGGTGTGGCTCAAAATTACAGAACTAGGGTTACGCAGGTTTTAGTCTTTGGTTCCATTTACTAACGTGCCATGTTGGTACGTTTTTTGGAGCCACAGCCAAATGCAAGCGTGCCATCAACCACTGGGTGCCTGAATGGTTGATTTGTTGATTGGTTGGTTGGTTGGTTGGTTGGTTGGTTGGTTGGTTGGTTGGTTGGTTGGTTGGTTGGTTGGTTGGTTGGTTGGTTGGTTGGTTGGTTGGTTGGTTGGTTGGTTGGTTGGTTGGTTGGTTGGTTGGTTGGTTGGTTGGTTGGTTGGTTGGTTGGTTGGTTGGTTGGTTGGTTGGTTGGTTGGTTGGTTGGTTGGTTGGTTGGTTGGTTGGTTGGTTGGTCACGGCTGAGGACCACACCGGTCTTCTCCAGCTTGAACTGCAGCTTTGCAACGCTCTCCTGGAGCTTCGTGAAGTTCTCGTGCACCGAGGTTGAAAGCCTCACTCAAAGCGGGACCCGGCTTGGCAAGCAAACGAATCGGCCGGCCGAGATATCCCCCGCACCCTCCCTCCGACGAACATGGAAGCGCAGCTAGTACTGATGGGAGGGTACCAAGTTCAGAGATTGTTCGGATTTGGTGGCAATGTTTCCTTTTCCTCACCCCTCTGATTGCGATTCATCTTGCGGATTGTTGGGGGGTCGGGGTTTAGCATCTACCACTTGAAGCCCAGTCGCAGCACGTGGTCATACATCAGGCTGAGTATGTCAATGTGGGACGCTGGACCTTTGCACTGCCTCGGGAAAAACTGCCATAAGCCGGTGGCTTGGACAGCTGGGTTCTGCCACTCAGTTGCCCCTCAGGGACGCAGCAATAGAAGCTTCTCCTTTTGGGGGACCAAAGAGGGGGAACCAAAAGGTCAAAAGGCCGGCTTTGGGCAAGTGAGGTCAGTCAAGAGCACGAGTGATGTGGGCATCCGCGGGGTTTCAGCCTCTGGCTTAAACAACGACTGGCGACTCATTTTCTCAACCAACCTTCTCGACAGGGCAAGGAACCAAAGGGACCTCGGTTTAACACAACCGAATAATGAAGCTCGAATAATGAAGCTCGATGCAGTTTTGTGAAACCTCAAAGCGGGTTGAACATGTCGTCTGTGTTTCCGAGTGGGCTCCAAGGAACCTTCAAGGGGAAAAACAAACTCAAACCCCACGCTTGCCGCAGCATAGGCAGACAAGCCCACACAGTTAAGCAAAACGCCCGTGCGCTGTGCGTAAGACGGCAGTGGGGATACCTAGCCTGACGCCCTGACAGCATGTCAACTGCAAACGGCGCAGGCTAGGCTTCAGCTCCCCCTTCGGTGGTTTGGGTTGGTGGTTTGGGTTGGTGGTTTGTCCTTTTGAAACCAAATGGGCAAGGCAGCCCCTAACGTCCAAACACTAAACCAAACCACCAAATTAGGGGAAAGCTGAAGGCTGCAACGAAGCCCCGGAACCAAACAAAGACGACTCCTGTTGCGAGCGTGGGCATATAGACCGGCAAGCCGAATCGTCGCTTGGCACCAAGAGCCGGAAGACAGAACACTCATTCCCACTTGAGGGCAACTGCTCAAGGCGACGTGCTGTTCTTTTGCATGGCCACGTAAGCAAACCAGCCGGGTGAACGAAATCATAAAGTCAACACGTGGCTTCCAGAATTTGACTTTAACAAGCTTAGCTGACTGTCCAGGTTGGGCTGCGCCGAAAGCCGTGCACCCGACTCTACAAGATCGACACTTATAACCGTGGCGTGCCCCTAGGCGTACTGAAACTGGGCACATATGGGTGTGGGTCAAAACAGTTTTGGTTCCATTTTTTGGGGGTAGGTGAATTCACCACCCATTTTGGAACCTACTTTAGTGGGGATTATAGTGGGGATTGGGTCCCGTTCAGTCGTTGACCGGCCCTCTGCCTCAAACAGGCGGATGGAGATTTCATAGCTGTCACAGCTCCATGCGCGAGCTGAATGCGAAGGCTGAGAACCCTCATGCACTGAGAATCCCTTCGTGGCCGTGAAAACACGGGCAATCAGCGAAGGTTTGTCACAGGGCTGCATAGCTAGACAGCCCTAATATCTAAGAGCACCATCTGGAAGGCCTTCGCGAACGCAAACGCAACCCTTGAGTTCCGAGGAACCTTTATTAATAGATGCCAAAGAGAGCTTACAGTAAGCGTTCTAATTGCTTGCTGAGGCTCCGCGTAAAATGTAGGAGCCTGTCAATTTTATTCGTTCCCGTCAAGCCATCACACCGATCCAGCAGCTCGAACGTCATCTTCACCTCGTGCTGGCACTATACGCTGAGGGCTCCCGACATGTCGACGTGTCAAGTGGTTTGGGGCAACCTCATGGTACATTGGAGAATGTACCCTAGTGGCTATATAGAGGCTGTATATCCCACTTTACTCCGGCAAACCCGCTTGGCAACTGAGGCCAACCCAGAAACCCAAGTGAGGCCTTTGCCATCGAGTTCCCATGTTCAGCACTCCCGCACCTGCTTTGGGGTGATGCCCAGGTGGCTCCAAAGCGCCTCAGCGTAAAAAGGCAAACGACCCCCTGTTGTCACCGGCGACTTCCTTGGATCAAATTGGCCAGTGCCATCTGAATTTCCGACAGGCAGCGAATATAAGCTCCATTGTTTTGGATACGTGGGAAACGCTGCGGCAACTGGCTTGCCAACGCCGCTCAAACCGAAAAGGAGCCCACAAACCGCGGCTTGTCTGACGGCTTGTCTTTCCGGCGCATCTGGCTCGCCAACCCTTCCATGTTGCAATTAGTGACAGCTTGAGCCCCAGCTTGCGCAACCTGCCTGGTGATTGCGCTCCTTCAAGTGTTCCCCCAGCCTTAGTAGTAAAGCGCAAGTCCCTTTCTTCTGCCTGCCCAGTCTGCAAATACGCTTGTCTCAAAAGTAGCCGATCCGAAACCAGTTGCTTCTTTCTGGCGTCACTTTTTAACCAACCAAACGTTGCGGAAGGTTCCAACCACATCAGAGAGGAAGACAATGTGCACGCCCAAGCTGCTCTTTCCGAGTGATAGCACTGTCGCCATCTTGATCCATTTTCTGCAACGCATTCCTCAGGAAACATGGGGAAAGATTGCCCTTTGCCCCAAGCCACCCCTCAAGTGGCAGCTTACCAGGGAAACAGAAACCATCAAAATTATGGGACCAGCCTTCTGTCAAACTATCGGCTTTCCCTCTAATTGGCTGGTGGATTGGAGGTGGTGGCTTCCCATTTCTCCTCAGGAGAAAATGGGGTTCAACGCCAGGCCACCACCAACAAAGGGTGGACGTCAAATGTCACGCCGCGCCGCATCAGAGTTTTCTCCTCCTCCTCTTCTTCCGCTCGCTGTGACCTTGGCATCTGGCTGGATTAGAGTTGGTTCGGGGAAGCTGTGCTTGGTCTAGGGCTGCAGGGTGGGAGCTGTGCTTGGTCTAGGGCTGCGTTTGGGTGGGTATAGGTTGGTTTAGCCAACGCGCCACCAACTGCCACCGCCAAAAAAGACGCCAAATCTCTTCACGTCGAACAATCCCCACCTCAGAAACTTGCTAGCCTTAGACGCCATCCGCACTCCGAGTCTGGGGACTCTTGCAAGGACACGTAATCTGCAGCCCCAAGATCCAACTGATAGCAGCCAAAACCTATCTGAACGTGTGGGCCAAAGGTTGCCAAAACAAAACAGTCTGGGACGATGTGGCTCAGCATAGCCTCAGCTGCACGTCTTTTCCCGCGTGAGACGTGCGTGCTCTTCTCAAGGGACGCAACTACGTGCTCCTGGAAAGCCGTGTGGTAGCTGCCTGTCACAAGCTCTGTTCCCACAAGGAAAAACGACGAAAGACAAGACCCCCCCCGCGAAAAAAGAAAGACTAACACAACCCTGAAAGAAAAACGCAACAATCCGCGCAAAACGGAGTTCCCTCCTTCTGACGGGGCGGCATGGTCAAGTTTTATTCGTCTCAGGGAGTGATGGCGTGCAAACCATGGTCAAGTCTCGCCAGGGAATGAAGAATGCCACTCAATCTTTGCTGCACTCCTGCATTCCAGGAGCTAGCCCTGAGGCAACTCAGCCCTGTCTGGATGCAGAACAGCAGCGCTGTGACCTCATCCTCGCTTCTGCAAGCGTCGGCAGCGCTCACAGCACGGTCCACGAAGACGCCTCTCAGCCAGGCTTGCCACTAGCAGCACAAGGAGTTGCAGCTGGGAGCGGCATTCGTGGCAGTAGTAATAGTAGTAGCAGTAGTAGTAGTAGTAGTAGCAGTAGTAGCAGCAGCAGCAGTAGTAGTAGTACTAGTACTAGTAGTACTAGTGGATTTAGTAGTAGCAGTAGTAGTACTAATACTAGTACTAGTCCTAATAGCAGTAGCAGTAGCACTTGTAGTAGTAGTAGTAGTAGTAGCAGTAGCAGCAGTAGTAGTAGTAGTAGTAGCAACGGTGAAGTAAGAGAGCAGTAGCATTGGTAATGGAACTCGGACGACAGCGGCAGACTCGCTTGGGATAGCCATGCCGGTGCTACACCTAAGCAACTGGAGCACAGTATCCAGTCCAAACGGCCTGATGCTTTTCGAAACCTGCCATGCGCCGGCGCCTGTGACCACATTGAGTAAGCCAACCACGCTGAAGGCAGTGAAGCATACAAACGTCCAGAAAAATACATGCGTTGGATCCTTGGCTCAAGTTGAAGCTCTGCGGAAAAACTGAACACTGCACCTCCAATGATACAGGACTTACAGGATGCACAAGCCACTGCTCCGAACCAAGCCACCATTTTCTTGAGTAAGTCGCCATAAGACATCCAGTCCTAAGCGCGCATACTTGCACTGGCACTTGAACATCCCCAGTCGCCAAGCCAGAGCCTGTGCAGCACATAAGTTTCAAGGCACACTGGCCTTTTCCGTTGCTGTCAGGTGTCATTGCCACCGCTGATTGCTGCCCATAGCGACACCAGCATGTTTGGCAAAGATCCGAAGGTGTCAATGACCGCTGCAACTTCCTGGCAGGGTTTTGCAAAGAGGAAAGCAGCACATGAGTGCCTCTGTCTTAACACCTGTCCTCTCATCAAAGAGTCAACAGAAAACCGCCACTCTTACGGTCGCCTGACTTTGAGACACATAGTTCTATCTCCAGGCACGCCTGATCAACACAGGCCTTCCCCAATGTGCAATGAGGCTTGACAGGGTCACCAGGCACCAGCCCATACCAGCCCTACCCGAGCGATGAATTCAGCACAAGTTGGCAAGTCCCGGTGGCCCTGGTTGACAAAGGGAGCCCCTCTTGAGGTGAACCAGTTTTCAAGCCACAACGGGTGCCACTGAACTATTGAACTGGTAAGTTGCCAAACTCAGCTTCTCTCCGCAGTTTTCCCCAGATTTTCAGGGGCGAAAGGTGAGCTCTCCCTCTTGCTCGCGCCTGGAGCTCTTCAGCACCTGTCAAAAAATGGTTGTGAAGAGAACAGCGCAAGAGAGGGGCCACCACTTTTTCTCTGGGACGTCAATGCTACGAAAGGAAATCCAAAGCTTGGACGATTAAAGGCCTGCGTTCTTGAAAGGGCGTGAGCGTGGATTTGTGTGCTTGGAACATTGGAACAGTCCTAGATATGCACGAAGCAAACCAAGAGCCAGCTTAAGACCAGCGGCTCAGCGGGTGTGTGGCATTCAACCGCTCCATGTTCTCAAAGTAGTTCACCTTATTGCCCCCAAGATTGGAGCTCCGAGAGTGCGGGGCGGGAACCATCCCAAACTAAGAGCACAACTTCATTCAATCCGGCTGTTGCGGACCCGGCATGATGCTTGCATGTTTCTTTCTTGTCCAAAGCAAATGCACATTATGAATTCCCCTCCAAGGAACCTTTGACACAAATAACATGAGCTGGGATCATGGAGAGCAAGTGCCCACAATCAAATGTGAAGACATGACTCTCAAGCGAACTTCTCCAAATGCATCCCCTTAGGGCAGGTTGGTTGAATCATTCAACAGGCCTCTTTGCTACCGAACAATGCCCCTGCCACCAAGCCGCCGCAGCAATGGACAGAAAGACACTATAGGCGAAGAGAACCACACCAACCTCATTTAAATCAGGGCGCCTCCCAAAGGAAGGCAGCTTGGAACAAGCCGCTCAGATCTGCGGACATGCTCAGCCAGCCGCCACAACGGCAGCCGAAGCAAAGTCATGCACAGAAGTGGACAGGGCAATAAACCTCAGCGCGACGTCGCGATGCAAAGAATTTGACATTCAGCATGGTTCGCGAATGAGTTCTCACCGCCGAAAGTTCAGTGTCCAAAACCCGGCTCGGATGCAACCAAAATGCACCGCGCGCATCCGCCGCAATCCCTGGCAAAAACAAGGCTGGCAAGACATTGCCGGCCAGCAAGAAACTGCAATCCGTTCCTCCGAATAACAAAAGGTCCCCCAAACAACAACAAAACATGAAAGATGGGGCATTATTCTTAGGGACCCTTTTTGGTAGAAGAAACTGATTACTTCCGAAGGGCTGAGCTCCCCAAAAACAAATTTGGGGCCTTCCATGCCGAATGTGGGCAAAAATTCACGAGTCTCGAAGTGTCATGCCGCCCCCCCTTCCCCTCCACCCCGCAATAACAGAAATGGTTTAGTTCCATTAGCCTGGAGCATGTCCATGTGCTTCACCTTGGCTGGCACTGCACAGCACTGAGCCACTAGCAACCCAACGGAAGCAACTTAATCATGGATGACGTGCGTCGGGTAAACTATGCCCAAGAGGCGAAAGAAAACCAGCTCTGGCCCCACAAAACTGCCCCCAGCCACATAGATCTCATATCAACCAAGGTCGGAAAAGAAGCCAAACCAGTAACACCTGCAGCGTCGCACAAAAGAACGGATTCTCTCTAAGATCCTCACCAGCCTTGCCACGCGGAAAATGCCTTCAGCCGGGCACTGCGTGAAACAGCAAAAGGCGCTAAAAGATCACTGACATTCCAGCTCTATGAAAGCCGCATAAGAAGAACCAAAACAGCTTGTCCACGAGGACCTGGAATCTGACACCCTATTAAATACAGTGGATTGCCGCAATCCTGCACCACCTAAGAAACCCTGGAATGATGATTCCCCTGCAGATGCCAACCAACAATGGTCAACCATGGTTTCAAGGTGGTGCGAAATAGATTTCGCAGCCATCCACAGTATCAAAATGATCAGCCAGGACGTCGTTATCAGGAAGGAGCCAGGAAAGGCTTTTCCCTTGCCCTGTTGATTGCAACAAATACCGTATGGCTTCCGCGACTTGTGGACCTGTCAACTGTCCGGCTGAGTCTGCGGCCAAGGACGCGCAAAGCCCTTAGCTGCGAAACCGTCAGGCCGGGTACGGCAGCGGAAACGGAAAGCTGAAATTCACTTTCGTGGTTTTACGCGGAAAAGTCCAAATTCAAATCGTTTTTTTTACCACTGAAATTGCCTTAGCAAACAGTTCAAAGTTCAGGAACTCAGAAAGTGAGAATAAGGATAGCTTGCGGCGGGTCTTGCGGAGAAAAACTTAAGCCAGGATCAGTAGGAGTGGGGTGTAGATCAGGGAGGGCGGGTCAATGGGAGGGAACACAAAAATATATCTGTTTGCCAACCATGACTCCAGCAAATCATTTGCATTGCCTTCCACTCCTTACATTGGGCTACGCTGCGTTCCTTCACAAGCACCGTGGACGATGTGTCGACTTGTGTCTTAGTTACCATTCTGTCAGGCATAGCTTCGTCTTTTGCTTCCTTTCTCCACCCGTTCACTCAAGCCCATGCGGTTTTGGCTGCAGTCCAGGCACGAGAACCTTGCAGACTGCAAACGCGTCACGATAGAAAGAGCCGACTCCACGGCGAGCATGGAGTCAAAGATATTCCAGTACTGCGAAAGGGTCGGTAGCATGCAGAGAAGCATTCAGTAGTTCTCTTAATCTTAACATGCTTGCGAACCTAAGCCCAAACACGGAGCTGGCCAGGCAGCAAAGAATCCCAAAAAACGAGCGCAACGTAACAGCTTTCACATTCTTTCACGCCAGATGTTGATAGAAGCATCGTGCTGTGTCGTGCTTTCAGCTCCCACGCACCTTGTCTACACCGCAGAAAAAGATCCCAGGGCGAACCGCATATATTTTGAGGATCACCTCGAGGCAGAACCTCGGCAAAGATTCCCAGCTGGCGATAAAACTGCAGCTCAAAAACCCACCCATTGGTGGATGATGGAACTTCAGATGAACCGCTAGATCACTCTTTCCCGAACAAGGGACTCTCAGCGGGTGGCAGGGTTCAGAGTCCAACCATTGCCCAAGACTGGACCGCTACAAGTTGAAGCTGGACACTTTGAGTTCCTGTCCAGAACCAACTCCAACTATGTTTTTAGCACATCCCCAAGCTTCCAATGAAGATTCCATGCATGTGTCCGTTTGGTATTCTCAGAAGAGTTCTTTCATTCTGGCCCGCTCGAGCTTCTTGAGGTCCGCTGGCGATCCCCTAGTTCCGCGAATTTTGCTATAATTCCAAAACCTGAAGTGAGGGATCCCCAAGCAAAGGACCTTTACCATGGCTTTTGCTGGCCAAAACCCCCCGAATCAGCGTGGAACCGCTGGCGTCACAAAATCGGCTGAAGCTACGGCCACTAGGCCCGGGGGCCAGGCCATACAGCGAAGGGCGCATCCCACGCAAAGTTGGTCGCACCCTTCTGGAGACCCTCCAGCGGAGCATAAGAATTCCTGAAAGCCAAAGACGAAAGAAAGCAGTCAGCCCATTGGAAGTATGTGCCCATGGGAAAAGCCCAGCTGTCGAAAAGGAACAAAAAAAGCACCTGGACGGGCCTAGCGTTGCTTTCTTCAGGAAAACATATTATTTGGCCCTGGTGGGGGCGAGGTTGAAGGCGTAGGTTCCTGTACGCTTGATTGCTACACGTGACTAAGATGCACGCTTGATCAGCCAATCCTCAGGTGCCAGGTGCTTTGCCCCTCAAGAAGCACAGCTTGCAACTGCTCGGGCAGCTCTAGCACTTGCAAGTAACCCCAGCTGAGAATCAGTGTAGAAGGCAATGCGAAGGCAGTTGAACACAATGATCGCCGAGCATAGGATCTGGCACGGCGAGCGGTGATCCAAAATTGTCCAGACAGAGCAGCAAGCGAAGACTGCAAGAAGTCACCTGCGAAGATTTTGGGGAACTTATGGAAGTTCTCAAACTGCTTTTGGGAGTTCCCTTCAAACCACGATCTCCAAGGAGAAAACACCCTGCTTCGAGCGCGGGAAGAACCATTGAAAGTCATCTGCGAAACTCATCTGCGAAACTAACTTGCGATTCTTTTTCACTACTGGGACCCAGTCCAACCGTAACAATCCACGTGCGCTTGCAGCAGCTTGACGACTTCAGGATAGCGATAGGCTAGATCGATCGCCGTCTCCCCATCGCCGTTTGTGTTCACTTGCGCGCCCTTGCGAAGCAACAGCCGCACAATCCCCCCGTGGCCATACATCGCCGCCACCATGAGTGCGGTGTAGCCGAAGCGCCCCCGCGTGTTGGTGTCAGCTTGGCTGTCCAGAAGGCAATCCACGACTTCGTCGTTCCCGAAGCGCGCTGCAAGCCTCAGGGGCGTCAGATCTCCCTCCACCGGCTTCTCCGCATTAGCGCGGGCCTGCAGCAGCCATCGCACTGCCTAGGACAAAAAGCAACCACACGTCTTGAGCAGACGTTAAGCATCACTGGGGAACAATCTGTGAAGGGGAAATGTGAAGCTTTCACTGGGTGCTCAGTGCATTTTGGCTTGTGAATTGTGCTGCGGTGCATTGCGTGTGTATGCCACGGTTTTCCCCCAGCGTTGACTGAGCAGGGTCAATGTCAATCGAGTGCAGGTCTATTGATCAGAACGTTGAATTCAACACGTGGTTGCCAACCCACTGTTTGTGGAAACTGCCATCTCAGCTCAACCCGCATCCCCTCTGGCGGTTGCTGTTTGCCCCCTGTTTTCCCCTGCATGCGTCCCGGACAGAAATCTAGCAAACAGCAAACGGTTTGGATGTGGCAAATCTGTGGAACCACCCCTGTTGCATATGCTGCATGACAAGGTTGCAATATGTGTCCAGCCTCCACTAGTGCCTCACGTTGCCTGTGAAGTCATGAGTTGCCCAGGAGTTGATCTAGGCATCTCGTGATAGATCACCATCCACGCAGCCAGCGTTCGTTAGAATTCTTGGGCTCTTCTTGAGCGTTTATTCTAGACAATGATTTGGAATCGATTTTTGTGGATATTGGCTGTTCTTCCACCTGCGTTTTCTTAGTAATCCTTTACTACCACGTACCAGAGTCTTGTGGTAGGATGTGTGTGCATGTCGGGTTTGTGTGTGTGTGTATGCGTGTGTGCGTGTGTGCGTGTGTGCGTGTGTGCGTGTGTGCGTGTGCGCGTGTGTGCGTGTGTGCGTGTGTGCGTGTGTGCGTGCGTGCGTGCGTGCGTGCGTGCGTGTGCGTGTGCGTGTGCGTGTGCGTGTGCGTGTGCGTGTGCGTGTGCGTGTGCGTGTGCGTGTGCGTGTGCGTGTGCGTGTGCGTGTGCGTGTGCGTGTGCGTGTGCGTGTGTGTGCGTGTGCGTGTGCGTGTGCGTGTGTGTGTGTGCGTGTGTGTGCGTGTGGGTGTGGGTGTGGGTGTGGGTGTGGGTGTGGGTGTGGGTGTGGGTGTGGGTGTGGGTGTGGGTGTGGGTGTGGGTGTGGGTGTGGGTGTGGGTGTGGGTGTGGGTGTGGGTGTGGGTGTGGGTGTGTGGGTGTGGGTGTGGGTGTGGGTGTGGGTGTGGGTGTGGGTGTGGGTGTGGGTGTGGGTGTGGGTGTGGGTGTGGGTGTGGGTGTGGGTGTGGGTGTGTGTGTGTGTGTCTGTGTCTGTGTCTGTGTCTGTGTCTGTGTCTGTGTCTGTGTGTGTGTGCTTGTGTGTGTGTGTTTGTGCGTGTATTTGTCCTTGTGTTTGTGTGTGTGTGTGTTTGTGTGTGTGTGTTTGTGTCTGTGTTTGTGTCTGTGTTTGTGTTTGCGTGTGCTTGCGTGTGTTTGCGTGTGATTGCGTGTGTTGCGCGTGTGTTGCGCGTGTGTTGTGCGTGTGTTGTGCGTGTGTTGTGCGTGTGATGCGCGTGTGATGTGCGTGCGATGTGCGTGCGATGTGCGTGCATACATGCATGCATGCCTGCGTGCGTGCGTGCGTGCGTGCGTGCGTGCATGTGCGTGCATGTGCGTGCGTGCGTGCATGTGCGTGCGTGCGTGCGTGCATATATGTGCATGCATATGCGTGCGTGCATATGCGTGCGTGCATGTGCGTGCGTGCATATGCGTGCGTGCATATGCGTGCGTGCATGTGCGTGCGTGCATGTGCATGCGTGCACGTGCGTGCGCGCATGTGCGTGCGTGCATGTGCGTGCGTGCCTGCGTGCGTGCTTGTGCGTGCGTGCATGTGCGTGCGTGCATGTGCGTGCGTGCCTGTGCGTGCGTGCATGTGCATGCGTGCATGTGCATGTGCATGTGCATGTGAATGTGCGTGTGCATGTGCATGTGCATGTGCATGTGCATGTGCGCGCGCGGGCGCGGGCGCGGGCGCGGGCGCGGGCGCGGGCGCGTGCGCGGGCGCGGGCGCGCGGGCGCGGGCGGCGGGGCGGGGGGCGGGGGGGGGGGGGGGGGGGGCGGGGGCGGGCGGGCGGGCGTGCGGGCGTGCGGGCGTGCGGGCGTGCGGGCGTGCGGGCGTGCGTCGCGCGTGCATATGCGTGCGTGCATACCTGGAAACTCCTTCCGGCCAAAATTTCAGCCGTGGACTCAAAAAGGCGCCTTTTTGCGTCCGCCGGCGGAAATTGGGATCTCCCAAAAATCGTGCGGCTTTGTTGCTTTTCCGGCGGCGTTTTCATACGCGGCCTTAAAGAGTATTGCTGCCACAACCTTTGCTACCGCCAATCTCTTCAATCAGGGCATGACGCAGCCGGGGTGTATGAATTATGTTTGCTCGATGCGTGTGGCGAGTACGGAGCCCTCTTTGTCTCCACTGCTTCTGGCTTCAAAGGGGCTGGTTGCCCCAAAGTGCAGGAATCAGTTTTTTTCCTGCATGCACGGTTCAATAGACGGTTTTGTATTTTGTTGGTGTTTCGGGCTACGGCGGAAACACGCGGGATTACGGCGGACACATGCGGGATTACGGCGGAAACACGCGTCCAACCAGTGGACGTTCTCAGGGCCTTTGATTGCGCTTGATGCTTGATCTCCTTACCTTCGATTCGTGCTGTTATTAGCATCACTGTGCAAAGCACGTCTGGTCACAAATGCATTGCCGGCGGAATCATGATGCATGCAGTTGGCTATGTAGTTGCGGGCACCGACAGTGCCAAAGCTCGTGCATTGATGTGCAAGTGCTTGCCATTTCCGGCCTACGCATTGTTCTCTGGATGGGTGGAGTCGTTGCTGCGTGCCCAGTGCCCATCTTCGTAACTTTCAGAGCGTTTGTGAGCAAATCAAAGACATGCCGGTTGGCTTTGCATTGTGGGAGCAAGTGCTTGGTTCAGTTTATGATGTTCTGGACCAGGCTTTGCGGCTGTTTTTTCTGGCTGCCGGCGTTTTTCAGAGCTGCCGGCGATTTTGTTCTACTTGAGGCTGAAATTCTTGCTGAACGCAAAGCGGCTAAGATTTTGGCCGGACGGAGGTTCCAGGTATGCGTGCGTGCGTGCGTTGTGCGCGCGTGCGTGCGTTGTGCGTTGTGCGTTGTGCGTGCGTGCGTGCGTGCGTGGGTGGGTGGGTGGGTGCCTGGCTGGGTGGGTGGGTGGGTAGGGGTGTGTGTGTGTGTGTGTGTGTGTGTGGGTGGGTGGGTGTGTGCGTGCGTGCGTGCGTGTGTGCGGGCGTGTGTGCGTGCGCGCGTGCGCGCGTGTGCGCGTGCGCGCGTGCGCGCGTGCGCGTGTGCGTGTGCGTGCGCATGTGCGTGTGCGTGTGCGTGCGCGTGTGCGAGTGCGTGTGCGGGTGGGGGTGTGAATGTGGGGGTGGGGGTGGGTTTGAGTGTGGGTGTGGGTGTGGGTGTGGGTGTGGGTGTGGGTTTGAGTGTGGGTGTGGGTGTGGGTGTGGGTGTGGGTGTGTGTCTGCATGGGTGGGTGGTGGGTGGGTGGGTGGGTGGGTGGGTGGGTGGGTGGGTGGGTGGGTGGGTGGGTGGGTGGGTGGGTGGGTGGGTGGGTGGGTGGGTGGGTGGGTGGGTGGGGGTGGGGGTGGGTTGGGTGGGTGGTTGGGTGGTTGGGTGGGTGGGTGGGTGGGTGGGTGGGTAGGTGAGTGGGTGGGTGTGCGCGTGTGCGTGCGCATGCGCGCGTGCGTGGGCGTGGGCGCGGGCACGTGGGTGCGCGGGCACGTGGGTGCGCGGGCACGTGGGCGCGCGGGCCGTGGGCGCGCAGGCAGGCGGGCCCACGCGGAGCCTCGCGTGGGCACACGCGTGCGTGGGGGCGCGCGTGCGTGGGGGCAATGCGTGCGCACGGGGACGCGCGCGCGCGTACGTGGGGGCGCACGCGCGTGGGGGCGCGCACGTGCGTGGGGGGCACTGGCGTGGGTGCACGTGCGTGGGGGCGCGCCTGCGTGGGGGCGCGCATGCGTGTGGGCGCGTGCGTGCGCGCATGCGTGCGTGATTGCGTCTGGGCGTGTGTGCGAACCAATGAGCACTCTCAAACGCGTCTGCCCTCGGATTCGTTGGAACCAAGTTGTAGGTCCCAACTCGCATTTAAAAGGCTCGACGTTTGTTCTTCCTGCGTGGGGGTTAATGAATATTCCTTCGGCCCCCAACTGACCATGGGTAACTTGTCCCATGTGACTGAAAAATATCATCTCTTTAGCGGCTTTCCGTTTCCAATGGCCATGTGCCAAGCTTTCGGCCAACCCCCGAGTTTCAACACCGCCGCCTTGGCCGGCCCGCTGCGGAGCGCCACCTGCATGGCGCGGGGCTCTTCGTGTACACGAAGCCCACCGAGCTGCAGCACTTGGAGCGCATCCTGCCAACACGGCCACGGCTGCCTGGCGAATCTCAGGCCCAGGGCTTGGTTGAAATGACTTGGCGCGATACGTAGGGAACCAGCACCAGTAAAATGACCACTTCTGTGAGACACACGCACATGGCCTCCCAACGACTAGCCCGACTTCAACTTGTGTGGGATAAAGCCCTTCCCACAACCCTGCCTGGCGCTGGCGCCAGTTTTTGACTGGGAGGGTTGGGGCTGGTTTTTTTTCTGTTGGGTCCAAGGCCAAAGGCCCGGACCCTGCGTGGCACAAAGGGGAAGGAGGGGGGGTTCATTTAGGCTCGGAAAAAGGCTGAGATCATCCAGGATGCTGCTGGGAGAGTTTAAGGTTGACTTTGAGTCAGTTTGGGTTGGCTTGGGGCTAATGTGCGCTAGGTGTGCGGCTGTTTTTTTGTTTTAGGTGTACCGCAGCAAGCCCAACAGCCACCAAAGCAAAGCCAAGAAGAAACCCTAGTCTGAGTGACGCCGCTGATGCTGGGGATGCGGCCGGCTAAGCCGCAGCAACTGGCCAATACGCAGCCCTGACCCCAAGAAAACGGGGATGCGGCCGCGCAACAACCAACCAACCAACCAACCAACCAACCAACCAACGGGCAAAGCCCCGAGCCGAGATTCAAAAAAAAAGAAGGTTCCAACGCCCCCCCCCCCCCAGCCCAAAACAACACCCACAGGCCTCCTCCGCAGGGCGGTGTCCGCGAGCACGGCCTCCGCTGTGGCTGCCCCCACCGAGGCCGTGACCAGCGCCAGCAGCCGCTGCCGCACCCACGGCACCCCGAAGAAGCGCCCGGAGGCCCGCTGCAACAAGGCCCCGGCCCTGCCGGCGGCCGACACCTCCGGGGGCGACGCTTTTTTCTGGGAGAAGCCGCAGGGCTTCAGATGGAGAAGCCATCAGCGTGGCAACCGAAGTCACTCTATGACAGCCATTGCGGAAAAAGAAAACTGACACATCTCTGACCCTTGGGGTCTCGTTTAGTTGATCCACCATGACGAAGGGCTGACGCGGCCATCTCGTGGTTTTGCGGCCTTACCGCGACGCTCCCGCCTGTCCGCCTTTCGTTTTGCGGTTGTGTCGACGTATAGCTCTTTCGGGGCCTCTGTGCTGGTGCAGAAAACCGGGTCCCGCTTTCTGGCTACCAGGGTAGCCTCCAACCCAGAGATAGCTCATTCCCCCCAAAAGGGGTACCCCTAAGTTAAGTCTGGCTTGGGGTAGTCAAAGGTGGAACCCCGGCGAAAAAGGCTTGATTGCCGAAGAGCATGGTGGCGCAATATGTCCGCTTTATGCGCACGCGCGAAAGGCCTCGCCTTCAATGCATTTCAGCAGAGCGTCGCTGGAAACATGTTCTGCAGTGTTGTTTTCGGGGGCTGATCTCGTCTTTGTTGTTTTTGGCGGAGACCATTGCAGCCGTTGTTTTTGCTGCGGTTGGGGTTCAGATGGTTATTTCAACATGTCGGACAAATTGGCTTTATGCGCTTTATGATGGTGAGTGATGAGAGTAAAACTATAAAATGTGGTTTAAAAGCAAAATGCTACATGTTCACCTAGAATCTAGAATTCACTCATGCCATTTGCAAATATACGTTTAGTAGCACTGCATGAGAACAAGCAACGACTGGAGCAAATGTTGCTCGTGCGGTATGCGCGGCTTGTGCTTGTTGACAGTTTGCCTTTGGATCCTCCGACGCATGTTGGACATTCCCTTTCAGTCCTGTCAAGTTTCATCCCCATACAGCAGGGTACACACATTTTGTGAATTTGATGCCATATGCTACACATGTACTTCATTGCCGCGGGGGCATGTCTGTCCCTCCCCGACTCTGGCCGCGCGACTGAAGCGTGCGAGCCTTGCCCGCTTCAGACGGCCACAGGAAGCCAGCGATGCAGGAGGCGAGGCCGCCATCAAGCACTTGCTGCATGGCCAGCCGGAATGAGACCTCCGGAAGGGCCAAGCGCGCCAAGCGCCCCAAGCGCTGCTGAAAATGGAGTTGGCTGTTGCACAATATCCTGGTTCAGAAAATGAGATGAAATCAGATGAGCCCCAAGTTGCGATTGCCAATGACTCAGCTCCGGTGCTTTGAATTCACGAGACGGACCTCTCAGCTAGCTTGAGCCGCTTGGCTTTGCAGACCTCACAAGACCCAGCCCACACTCGGTGCGGGCAAACGCACTTTCCCGCAAGCCGCATTGTCCATAATCAGCTGCCAGGAGAACTACGCACCGCCCGGCAGAACCCAAACATGGGGTCCCCAAACTACAGAAGCTCTTTGTCATGCATCAATCAATGTCTGAATGAGTCCTTACGCCTTGAAAATGGTTTGGCCTGAGCAGGTTGGCGGGATCCTTTCTTGGCTGCTTCTACTTTACCCTGTCTTTGAGCTCTTGAACTGACGAGGCCTCTAGAGGCGGGCAACACTTTTCTTGCTGGTGCTCAGTAGGGAATGAGAGAATGAACCTGAGGATTTCCGAGTGAAGAAAACCATCTGTTGGATGGTTTATTTGGGGGTCATTCCATTTCTCATTCCCTGCCTATGGCACGACCCTGAGACAAACAGAAGGCGAATTGCCAGTGGGTCCTTTTATATAAGGGAACGGCCTTAAGAAAGGGGAGATCCCCTTCCCAAGGATTTGAGGCTTTCCTGTGACACTCCCAGCTTTGTATATAACCACGTCGTGACAGAAACTCTTCTTGTTGACAGGGGTCAGGGGCACTCCATCCTTCTTCTGCAATGTGCAAGCCCAATGTGCAAAAAAACGAGAAAAAAAGATCAACATCACCAGATTCACTGTACCGAATCATACCTCACACATCACCAGCATCAGCAGGTCCCACTTCGTGAGGCAACGCATACAGGCCTCTGCCATATCGACAGTGGCCAAAGGACCATCTGATTGCCTCTGTTTCTTTCCAGAAACTTGAATCGGCTCAAATGATGCGGGGTAACAAAGCAGTTGAGACTGCCAGGAGTCCCCACATCCTGGTCTGGCAGATCTCATCTTGAACACTTCGTCAACGAGGCCTTTTGCGCGTTGAAGTGACCATGGTTCCCATGCGAGGCCCATTTGGGTGTGGCGCAATTTTTTAAAGGACTAGGGTTACGGACCATCACACCACAAACTGGCGACTTTAGACGCCTGGAAGGCTGGATGCGCGACCAGATCTTCCTCGGGACAAAGCAGGATGCCCCCCCACCGCTCGCTGGCATGGAATCTATTAGAGGACAACTCACTTTTTTCAAGCTAAGTGGGAGCGAGGTTTGGAACTTGACCGGCTTTCTGGGGGTCTTGGTTCTCTTAGTCACCTGGGTGGGAGGGTATATGCTGTATGCCCGAGGTATCGCGTACAATTTGTTGGGCTCGGCTGAGGCCATGACGATAGACGGCGCCTCGCCCTTGGCCTGGCAGTGAGCAAGAAACGACGAAACGCGGGCTGGGTGCCTTTTTGGCGATTGGCCCGTGTGGTGTTGAACATCAATCCTATGCATTCCCTATCTTCTCCGTTCCCGTCTTGCTTTTGGCCCGCGCTGTTTTGCTGGTGGGGCGCACCAACGCCAAACTTGCACACAGCTTGGCCAATCCTGCACAAGGCTGCGTCAGGAACTTGCGTCATGGACTCTGGATCCGCACCCTGGAAATTCAAATGCAAGACGCAAATCGCAGCGGAAACTGATCTCAAACCCAACTAGCCAAGTCTTTGTGACCCTTGCCGGGGGAAGACTAAGCAGGGCATATGTTTTTCAGCCATCTACGATGTTGCCCTGTCGAGGGCCGGTCGGCAAATAATTATTCGGCGTGGCATCGCACATTCGTGGCTTCAACAAAAACCAACGTTTTCCATGTTGTTTCTTAGGTTTATGTTTTCATTTAGATTCCAAAAGTCTGCCGGAAACTCGAAAAACATACTCGCACAAGCGCCCGCCAAGCTTGAAAAGACTCGTAACGTGCTGTGACATCCGCACAAGGTCAAAGCGTAGCGCAAGGGGTGCAGAACTGTCAAGCCGACTGCCGATCATGGATCAAAGGCCGGTTGGAATAGCTAAAAGCCATGCTTGCAATGTAGAATCAGCCCCCCTCCGAGGCGCAGGCTGCTTGGGAGATCTGGGAAGTGAATTTCTTCAAAACTTCCTCAGGATGTCGCACTTCATGGGGTATGGAAAGCATTACGTTATGGCGTTGGCCTTGTTGGCAGGTCCAGCATTACAACAACGTCAACTTGGTCTTCTTGGTCAGGTATCAAGTTGTGTGCCACACCGTCGGCGGATTGGCGGGCCATTCTGATGGCTGGAGCCGCGCAACTGTGAGCGCAAAAACTGCCTCGAAAGCAAAGCATCTGGTTCTGCGCGGAAAACTAAGGCCGCTCGCGCCCGGCAAGGGCACCAAATGGAGCATGCAGCATGAGCCACATGAAGGATTTGCAATGGGAAAGGCTTAGCGGATGTTTGGCATGGTTGACCCCCTCCCCGCCGTACCCAACGAGGGTGGTGATTCTGAAAAAAACCGCAGACCTTTGTGACCGCAGCCTGAAACTGAGGCTGGAGCCAAGACACCTTCATTTTCTGACCTGGGCGACCGAAGCCTAAACACTGACGACTGGGCCTGCTTTGGAAGGGGACCCCTTCATCGACTTGTCCATTGTTCATATTGGTTGGACGTGTGTCCACCCACTGCAAAGAGTCAAACCAGTCAATTCAGACCACTTTGGCCTTGCTCTTGCCCCCCCAAAAAAAGTTGGAAAGGGAGCCAAAAGTGGGTTGCATCGGTTTTGCCAAGTTGCTGGTCCGCGGGTGCCTTCTTCAACTCCTCCAAGTGAGCCCCGCTCAAAGAGGCCTCGCCACACCAACGGCCCGATCCAATCAGCGCGATTCAATTTTCGGCCGTGCACAAACGGCAGCGCCCGGCCATGTGGACTTTTTGGACGTGCCGAAGCGCCTATAAAGCTGTTGTGCGTTGGTTTTTCAGGCATGCAGCCAAGCCCGTCATGACCACACATTGCGGCACCCGCCGCGCAAGCATCCCAATCTGGGGCTCCTACGAGCCTGCGGGCGCTGTCCTCTTGGCGGCCCTGGGCGGGTCCAGAAACTATGATCCGGAATGCGCACATACTCTCACGTGTCTCCACAAAATCGAGACAAAAACACCCTGCTACCAGTACAGCAAATTTCTCCAGCTTCCGATCGCTTGCGGAAAGCTTCCGCCAACCAACGGTTGCTTACGGGCTACTTTTAGAGGATGGAGCTTACGGATAGCTTACGACTTGTGGCAAGCACGTGTCAAGTTGCTCGCGCCCGATCCTCCGCAAGCAATAGGCAGGGCAGTATGACAGACCAACAGCTTGCGGAGGAAAAAGCGCAAAGGCTTTGTTGCGCAGGAGCAGCGACATGGAGGGTCAAAATTTCTTGGAAACTTTTCAATCCCCGAAGAGTTTGCCACCAAATCCTGTAAGTAGATTCAGTGAAAGGGGCCCTGAAAAGGGGGCCCCAAGCCCCAAACATCCACCATTTGCAGGCCCACCAGTCTGAGATGTGGCCCTCGACACCGGTTCACACAAGGGCGTTCTGAAGGCACGTGCGAATGTTTGATGAATGAAAGTTTCAGCATGCCCTTCCAGGAGCCAAACGCTGTCAAGGTGCCCTTTGTCCAGCTCGTTTTGCGGGGGTGTGTCTGTGTGTCTGTTTTGAGGCAGGAGCCTGAATCACGGGTCTGGAGAAAACTGTTCGAGCCCCGAAAAATTGTCCGACCAAATCCTTCACAACACGCTGGAAGTGCGGCGAGTTTGTCGGAAGCATTTTGAAAGCCGTTTGTAAGCTGTGCCAAGCCTTCTCTTGCTTTGCCTGACGCAGGCCCAATGACGGGACTTATCTCCACAAGTGTTGTTTTTTATTCGCTGGAAACAGAATGAAGGACGCACAGTGAGGTTGATTCGCTCTGCGTCTTTTTTGGTGGCCTTTCTCGCAACACAGTGTGGCCCACACAAGCACACGCCAGTTCTGGCAAAGGGCGTCCTGAAGGCACATGAGAGTCGGTGCCCGTGTTGTGGGCCGGAATAAACTTCTCAACTCTATTTGAAGGAAACCGAAAACACAACTCGTGGAGACAAATGCGCCGTGATTGGGCCTGTGTCAGGCAAACCAAGGGAAGGCTTTGGCACAGCTTACAAGCGGCTTTCAAAATATGTCCGACAAAATCGCCGCACTCGCACACACACACACACAAACTTGCCTGAACCACTTAGCCACCCCCGCGCAAGTATCCCCGTCTGGGATTCCCACGAGCGTGCGGGCGCTGTCCTCTTGACAGCCCTGGGCGGTCCGGAAAGGATTATGATCCGGAATGCGCACATACTCCCATGTGACTCCATCAGGCGGGGGAGGTTGGCGACCAAGTCGGGTGACCCTCCTGGAATGGATGCGGGGTGCGGGGGGCGGAAGCAAGAATGTGCCAAACCCGTGCGCCAACGCAAAAGGCAGATGGCAGAATGCCCTACTTGTAAGTCGAGGGGATGACTTGCCGCCATATTTCACCAGAGTTGTTGCATTTCTGTGCGCATCTCAGGTGCCCAGCTCGGGATTCAACCTGCTCTTGGTGGGCGTTGCCTTCAAGGGCCTGGGCTCGTCTCCAAAAGGACCCCAAGTCCGGCATGGCCTCCCAAAGCCCCGCCAAAAACTGGAGTCTTTGCAAAACCAACGAGGCAAACCAACCAACCCAACCAAACCCAAGCTCGAACCAACCCAACCTTGAACCAACCCAGCCTTGCACCAACCCAACCTTGAACCAAGCCAACCTTGAACCAAGCCAACCAACCCAACAAGCCCCACCTTGAACCAACCCAACCGGCCAACTCACCCCACTCAGTTAATTAAGCCAACCAACCCAACGAGCCCAACCTTGAACCAAGCCAACCAAGCCAACCAAGCCAACCAAAACCAACCAGCCTTGAACCAAGCCAACTCAGCCAACCAAGCCAACCAAGCCAACCAAGCCAACCAAGCCAGCCAGCCAACCAACCCAACCTTGAACCAACCGAACCAAGCCAATCAACCCAACGGACGCGACCAACCCACCCAACCCACCCAACAACCCAACCGACCCAACCGACCCAACCAACCCAACCAACCCAACCAACCCAACCAACCCAACCTTGAACCAACGGACCCGAACAACCCACCAAGCCAACCAAGCCAACCAAGCCAACCAAGCCAACCAACCCAACCAACCCAACCTTGAACCAACCCAGCCAAGGCAACCAATCTAAGCAAGCGAGCTAGCCCAACCCAACCCAACCCAATCCAACCCAACCCACCCATCAACAACTCACTTCGCGCTACTGGCCAAGGCTCGCGTTGGGCGTTGGTCTTCGGCTTTCTCTTTTTGGGCTTCGCCTCACCGCCCCCAAGCTAACGGGGAGTTGCCCTCCTATGCGCATCAGGTCTTTGCCAAACTGGCTTTTGGGCTTGCATGTTCCTGTGGGATCGCCTGCAAAACCAAACATCAAACACACCCAAATGAGTCGGAACATTTTGCTGCAGTTCCCGTCACGTCCCAGCGCGCCACAGCGGCCCCCACCCCCCACCCCCCATCCATCACCCCCCATCCATCTTTCTCGCCTGACGCAGGCGCTCATGCGCTTCGTGCAGCTGAGAAAGTTGAAGCTGGATGTGCACCAGGTCATTCTGATGCTGAGCCTGAATCTCCCGCTCGTGTGCTGCCTTCAGCTGGCCATAAACTTCATCCAAGGCTTGGATGAAGCCGTCCGGTCGCACCTCCACGCCTGCAGCTGCCAAGCTTCCCCCCTGGTTTTTGTTTGGCCTGACTTGAGCGCCAACCCATTGACGCTTGGTTCTGCTGGGTGGTTTACGTGCGTCAACGCTTCTGTAAGCCTTCTGTAAGCCTTCTGTAAGCCTTACTGTCCCGGCTCGACCGAGAAGACCCCCGTTCTAAAATGTCACACTTGCTCAAAGCTGCAAAGCTACACGGGATCGCTGCCGTGCCTTTGGGCGGTGGAAGGGAAAACTCCTGGCGCGTGCAGCGACATGGCCATGTCTGTTGAAGGTACCGGTAAGTTTTCCGTGTTCCCGTTTGGGGCTGGGGTAGGGGGAAGCCAGAAAAAACAATCCACCTCTGGTTCGGGGCCCCCCACATTGGTTTGACAAGCCACATTCACAACCCCTTGAGATCTCTCGCGCCTCCGTCATGCCGGCCGGATGCAGCTGGAGCCCGATTGCTGGCCCCAAAAAAGTGTTGGAGCAAGCCCTACACACGGCCAGCACTTCGCACAGCCTGATTGGCAGATTGGAGTTCAGAGCAAGGAGCCCTGACCGAGATCCCGCCTTTGCCACGCAATCCGTTTTCAGAGGTTAATGCCAAGGTTTGATCAGCATGACTCAAAAAGAACATCCAGCGGTCAAGCCACCAAGCCTGCACAACACTTTGCAAATTCCTGCAACGCGGAGCCGCGGGCGTTCTCTTCCGCCCGATTTTCATGAAACTGAAACGCTGCGGGCTCAGCCCAGGGTCAAACTGCGCTGGGGAAGCATCGCAGTTTACGGGTGCCACTTCACCTTTGGCAACGGCACTCGAGACCTACCCACTTGCCAACAACGCTCCTCAAACCAAACCTTACGGCACTGCGCGCTCTTAGCCCCAAGCTCGACACAATGCCACAACGGCAAACGCAGGCGTCACGGGGAGCCCGCATTCAGTCTTGCAAAAATTCGCGCCCTGGTGGATCTGAAAACGCAGCGCTCGGCAGCCTGTCCACACCAGGGCAAATGGCACCTGGCCACGAAATGGGACTACTCTTCAATTGCGACAGAAGTGTGTGAGACCTCCACGAAAAAGGTATTGTATCGTTCGCGCACGGTCTTGTGTCAGCTCGGTGTCTGTGTCTGTGTCCTTTTTGTTTTACGTGCGCAGGCGTGCGCGCGCCTTTGCCATCTTGTGCTCAAGGAGTTGCCTGCTGCTTGGTGTTGGCGCGTGTCACTGAATGCTAGAACAGTCTGGTGGCATGGTCCTGGCGGTGAGCCGTTGTCGTTGTGATTGTCATTGTTGCTGGTGTGGTCGCTTTTGTTGTTGTGTTTGCTGTTCTTGTTGCTTTTGTTGGCGTTCGTGCTGATGCTGTTGATGTGCTTGCTGTGTGTGTGTGTGTGTGGCATTATTGCTGTTCTTGTTGTTCTTGACGCTGTTGCTGTTGCTGTTGCTGGGCTTGTTGTTCTTTGTTGTTCTTGTTGAGGGTGTTGCGGTTGCTGCTGCTTGCTGTTGCTGCTGCTTGCTGCTTGCTGCTGCTTGCTGCTGCTTGCTGCTGCTCCTGCAGCTGCTGCTAGTGTGGTTGTGGTTGGGCTGTGGTTGCGTGCGTTTTCGTGCCTGCCAATCGTCTTGGAGAGGGCTTGCCCAACAACACTGGCATGAGCGATGCTGCATCAGCTTCAGCTTGTGCAAGAATTGCCCTTTGCCAAGCAGCAACTAACTCAAAAGGATCCCCAGTGACCAAAGGTGTCCCTACACACTTCCGATCCAGTGGATTTGAAAAAAAAACCGGTGCTTGCCACTAGTCACGACAATGGTCTTCTCACAAAAACAGAAACTGAGAAAGCGGCTGTGGGTCAAAAGTAGGCATCCAAGATGGAACCCTGGCAAATGGAACCAAAGACTCAAACCTGCGGTCCCCTGGTGATCTAACTTTGACCCATACCCAAGTGAGTTGAAGCAACTCCAACAGGGCAGGCACAAAGGCCTTCGCAAGCTGCTCCCCGCCTGTCAGGAGGGGGCCTCGGCCTTCGTGCAAGACTCGTAGTACTTGGCTGGAATTAGGACCCCAGAAAAAGGACCATAATTTGTGCCTGCACTGCCCCCGCTTCCATCCCCCCTCCAAATGGAAACCAAAAGAAGTTCTTTAAGCAATTCACGGTTTAAACGTGTTGGCCCATGGGGCTCCAAAAGATTGCTAACTTGGATTGTGCGGCTTTCAGTTCGGGATGCAGCCAGCCTGTGCCATCAAAGCACACGCGCAGTTCCCCTTGCTCAATTCCTTCTAAGTACCCCCCTGCAGATCAACACCGAAGCCGAATCGGGTGTCGCTGGGTTTAGTGGGGATTCATCAGCTTTAAAGGGGAAGGCAAAACCAGGTCAGGCAAAGCAGCAAACCAACCAGTCGATATAGGAGCCAGGGTATAAAGCCGCAAAAGGGGCACGCACAATCCCCGGGGCAGGATCAGACTCAAGGCGGGCCAAGATACACATCAACTCTGAGGACCTGCAAGATGCACCTCCCACAGGGCAGGCAAAGCACCCGCACACCCTTTGCAGAGGGATTCGCCCCAACCCCGGCTCTGTACTTGGTCCACTGCACTCAGAGCCAGAGCCACATCCGAAGAATGACCTCACCTGCATGAGGGATTCACAATGTCCAGGAAGAGAAATGCCCCAACCATTCTTGGGGAGGAAAAGGGAGAAGATCTTGAGGGGGAAAAGGCCTTAGGGGGGAAAGGGGGGGAAAGGATCTCAACAAGAAAAAGGGGGAAAAGATCTTAGGAAGGAAAGGGGGGAAGGGAAAAAAGGCCTTAGGGGCAAAGGGGGGAAAGGATCTCAACAGGGAACGGCGGCAAAAGATCTTAGGGAGGAAAAGGGAGAAGATCTCAGGGGGGGAAAGGCCTTAGGGGGGAAAGGGGGGAAAGGATCTCAGCAGGGAAAGGAGGGAAAGATCTTAGGGAGGAAAGGGAGAAGATCTGGGGGCAAAGGCCTTAGGCGGGAAAGAGGAGAAATGATCTCTACAAGGAAAGGGGTGGAAAAGATCTTAGGGAGGACAGGGAGAAGATCTGGTGAAAAAAAGGCCAACAGGGACGGGGGGGAAGATCTTAGGAAGGAAAAGGGAAAAGCTCTCAGGCGGGGAAAGGCCTTAGGGGAAAGGGTGGGAAGGATCTCAACAGGGAAAGGGGGGAAACAACCTTAGGAAGGAAAAGGGAGAAGATCTGGAAAGCCCTTAGGGGGACAGGATCTCAACAGGGAAAGGGGGCAAAGGATCTTAGGGAGGAATAGGGAGAAGATCTCAGCGGGGGGAAAGGGGGAAAGGGGGACAGGATCTCAACAAAGAAGGGGGGGAAAGATCTCAGGGACGAAAGGGAAAAGATCTCAGGGGTGGAAAAGGCCTTAGGGTGGAAAGGGGGGGAAAGGGAGGAAAAGGGAGAAGATCTCAGGGGGGACAAGGCCTTAGGGGGGAAAGGGGGGAAAGGATCTCAACAGGGAGAGGGGGGAAAACATCTTCGGGAGGAAAAGGGAGATGATCTCGGGGGGGAGAAGGCCTTAGGGGGGGAATGGGGGAAAGGATCGAAAAGCGAGAAGATCTCAGGGGGGGAAAAGGCCTTAAGATCTCAGGGGGGGAAAGGCCTTAGGGGGGAAAGGGGGAAAGGATCTCAACAGGGAAAGGGGGCAAAGGATCTTGGGGAGGAAAAGGGAGAACTGAAAAGGCCTTAGGGGGGAAAGGGGGAGAAAGGATCTCAACAGGGACAGGGAGAAAAGATCCTAGGGAGGAAACGGGAGAAGATCTCGGGGGGAAAGGGGGAAAGGATCTCAACTGAGGGAAAAGATCTTGGGGAGGAAAAGGGAGAAGATCTGATCTCGGGAAAGGGGGGGAAAACATCTTAGGGAGGAAAAGGGAGAAGATCTTGGGGGGGAAAAGGCCTTAGGGGGGAAAGGGGGGGGAAAGGATCTCAACCAGAAAAGGGGGGAAGAGATCTCAGGAAGGAAAAGGGGGAAGATCGCGAAGGAAAAAAAGGCCTTAGGGGGAAAGGGGGGAAAGGGTCTCAACAGGGAAAGGTGGCAAAAGATCTTAGGGAGGAAAAGGGAGAAGATCTCAGGGGGGGAAAGGCCTTAAAGGGGAAAGGGGGGAAAGGATCTCAGCAGGGAAAGGGGGGGAAAGATCTTAGGGAGGAAAGGGAGAAGATCTGGGGGCAAAGGCCTTAGGGGGCACAGGGGAGAAATCATCCCTACAGGGAAAGGGGAAAGGGGTGGAAACGATCTTAGGGAGGAAAGGGAGAAGATCTGGGGGAAAAAAGTCCAACAGGGAACGGGGCGGGGGGGGGGAAGATCTTAGGAAGGAAAAGGGAAAAGCTCTCAGGCGGGGAAAGGCCTTAGGGGGGAAAGGGTGGGAAGGATCTCAACAGGGAAAGGGGGGGAAAGATCTCAGGGAGGAAAAGGAAAAGATCTCAGCGGGGGGAAAGGCCTTAGGGGGGAAAGGGGGGAAAGGATCTCAACAGGAAAGATCTCAGGGAGGAAAGGGAAAAGATCTCAGGGGTGGACAAGGCCTTAGGGGGGAAAGGGGGGGAAAGGATCTCAACAGGGAGGGGGGGGGGGGGGGGGAAACATCTTAGGGAGGAAAAGGGAAAAACTCAGAGGGAGAAAGGGCCTTAGGGGGGAAAGGGGCAATGGATCTCAACAGGGAAAGGGGGGGAAAGATCTCAGGGAGGAAAAGGAAAAGATCTCAGCGGGGGGAAAGGCCTTAGGGGGGAAAGGGGGGAAAGGATCTCAACAGGAAAGATCTCAGGGAGGAAAGGGAAAAGATCTCAGGGGTGGACAAGGCCTTAGGGGGGAAAGGGGGGGAAAGGATCTCAACAGGGAGGGGGGGGGGGGGGGGGAAACATCTTAGGGAGGAAAAGGGAAAAACTCAGAGGGAGAAAGGGCCTTAGGGGGGAAAGGGGCAATGGATCTCAACAGGGAAAGGTGGCAAAAGATCTTAGAAATGAAAAGGGAGAAGATGTCAGGGGGGGAAAGGCCTGAGAGGGGAAAGGGGGGAAGGATTTCAGCAGGGAAAGGGGGGGGAAAGATCTTAGGGAGGAAAGGGAGAAGATCTGGGGGCAAAGGCCTTAGGGGGCACAGGGGAGAAATGATCTATCTCTACAGGGAAAAGGGAAAGGGGTGGAAAAGATCTTAGGGAGGAAAGGGAGAAGATCTGGGGAAAAAAAGTCCAACAGGGAACGGGGGGGGGGGGGGGAAGATCTTAGGAAGGAAAAGGGAGAAGCTCTCAGGCGGGGAAAGGCCTTAAGAGGGAAAGGGTGGGAAGGATCTCAACAGGGAAAGGGGGGAAACAATCTTAGGAAGGAAAAGGGAGAAGATCTGGAAAGGCCTTAGGGGGGAAAGGGGGGAAAGGATCTCAACAGGGAAAGGGGGGGAAAGATCTCAGGGAGGAAAAGGAAAAGAAAGG